ATCAGAAATAAAGTTATGTTCATAAAAATATAACTCTAGAAGAATTAAGATCTAAATATAAAAATTAAATCTATAAAAATACGTAAAGAAAATTTTAATTATTTGTTACTATGAGACTTGATTTCTTTAAAAGATCAAAAATTTGTCCTCCTGAAACTAAATTTGTTTTCAAAAGAAAATCCGAATAAGTTTTTTGAAAATCATGTAAAGAAATATCTGTAATATATAACAGAAAATTTTAATATCCTTAACAAAAATATATAATAAAAACTGATACATAAAAAAGTAAACAATTCAACAAAAAATAAGCAAAATTTATGAATAAACACACAGAAGTAAGAATAGTAAGTAAGAAACAAACATAAAAACATCTTCAACATAGTGAGTGGTCAGAGAACGGCATATTTACTGAGACGGGGTTTTCACCTTTATTTTAGAAGGCATGTGAATTTCTACAGCCTTTTCTGAGAATTTAATATATGTATAAATTGATGGCAATATACGTTCCAGGCATACATTGTTTTATTGCATTTTGCCTGATTGCGCTTCACAAATACGGTGTTTTTGGTTTTTTTTTTTTTTACAAATTGGAAAGTTTTGTGGCAACCTTGTGTACAGCAGTATCAGCACCATTTTTCCAACAGCAAGTGCTTACTTTGATTCTCTGTGTTACATTTTGGTAATTTTCGAAATATTTCAAATATTCTCATTATCTTATTGTATCAGTCATGGTGATCTATGATCAGTGATCTTTGATGTTACCATTACAATTATTTGTGGGTGCCATGAATCACACCCACATACAACGGTGAACTTAATTGGTAAGTGTTGCGTGTATTCAGGCTGCTCCACCAACTGGCTGCTCCCCCAGCTCCCTCCCTGTCCTTGAATATCCTTGTTCCCTAAAAGCAATAATATTGAAATTAGGCCAATTAATAACTCTACAATGACCTCTAACTCTTCAAGTGAAAAAAAGTCACGTCTTTCACTTTAAATCAAAAGCTGGAAGTGACTAAACTTAGGAAGGCACATTTAAAGCTGAGATAGGCTGAAAGCAAGGATTCTTGGGCCAAACAGCCAAGTTTGAATGCAAAGAAAAAATTCTTCACAGAAATTAAAAGTGCTACTCCAGTGAACACATGAGCACTTAAGTGTTCTTGATGATGTGAAGAAAGTTTTAGTAATCTGGATAGAAGATCAAACATTCCCTTAAGCCAAAAGCTAATCCAGAGCAAAGCCTTAACTCTGTGCAATTCTATGACACCTGAGAGATGTGAAAAGGCCGCAGAAGGAAAGCCTGAAAGTAGCAGAGATTGGTTCGAGAGGTTTAAAGCAAGGTAAAAAGTGCAAGCTGAAGGAGCAAATGCTGATGTAAAAGTTGCAGCAGGTTATTCAGAAGATCTAAGATAATGGATGAAGGTGGCTCAACTAAATAATGGATTTTCAGTATAGACAAAACATCTATTAGAGACATCTAGGACTTTGATACCTAGACAGGAGAAGTCAATGTCTAGCTCCAAAGCTTCAAAGGATGAGCTGACTCCTGTCAGGGGCTAATGTAGCTGGTGATATCAGGGTAAAGCCAATGATCATTTACCATTTCAAAAATTCTAGGGTCCTTAAGAATTACGCTAAGTGGATTCTGTCTGTGCTCGATAAACCGAACAACAAAGCCCCAATGATAGCACGTGTGTTCAGAGTACGATATACTGAATATTTTAAGTCTACTATCAAAACCTACTGCTCAGAAAGAAAGGTTAGTTTCAAAATGTTACTGCTCACTGACAATGAACCAAGTCACTCAAGAGCTCTGATGGACATGCCCAAGATTAATGTGTTTCCAAGCCTGTTCATACAACATCTATTCTGTAGCTAATGGATCAAGGTGTAATTTTGTCTTTCAAGTCCTATTATCTAAGAAATATGTCTTGTAAGAATATAGCTGTTATAGATAGTGATTCCTCTAATGAATGTGGGAAAGGTGAATTGAAAACCTTTTGGAAAAGATTCACCATTCTAGATGCCATTGAGAACATTCATGATTCACAGGAGGTAGTCAAAGCTTCAAGACTTCAGTGGAGGAAGAAACTGCAGATGTGGTAGGTAGAAACTCGTGGAGCCTGAAAATGATGACTGAGGCAATCATCATCAAACTTGAACGGATGAGGTGCTTCTTATGGATGAGCCAGGGAAGTTTCTTGAGATGAAATCTACTTCTGGTGAAGATGCTGTGAACATTGTTGAATTGACAACAAAGGATTTAGAATATTCCATAAACTTGGTTGACAAAGCAGGGGCAGGGTTTGAGAAGACTGACTCTAATGTTGAAGGAAGTTCTACTCCAGGTGAAATGCTATCAAACAGCATCATAAGCTGCAGAGAAATTTTCCGTGAAAGGAAGAGTCTATTGATGTGACAAACTTCACTTATGTCATATTTTAGGAAATTGCCACCTCCAAGTTGGGCACAGTGGTTCTTGCCTGTAATCCCAGTTACTCAGGAGGCTGAGGTGGGAGGACTGCTTGAGGCCAGGAGTTTGAGACCAGTCCGGGCAACACAGCAATACCCTATCTCTAAAATAAGAAATGAAAAAAATTAGCTGGGCGTGGTGGTGTGTGTCTGTAGTCCCAGCTACTCAGGAGGCTGAGGTGGGAGGATCCCTGGTACCCAGGAGTTTGAGGCTGCAGTGAGCTATGATCATGCTACTTCATATTGATAGGCTGAACAAGACCCCATCTTTAAAAAAGAAGAAAATAAATTGCCACATGCATCCCTACCGTCCTACGATTTACAACCACCCCCTGGTCAGAACCCACCAATGTTTAGGCAAGACCCTCCACCAGTAAAAAGATTATGATTTGCTGAAGTCTTAGATGATCATTAGCATTTTAAAGCAATAAAGCATTTTTAAATTAAGGTATGCATTTTTTAGGCATAATGTTATTGCATACTTAGTAGACTGTGTGGTGTAAATACAACTTTTATATGCACTGGGAAACCAAAAAATTTGTGTGACTTGCTTTATTATGAAATATATTTTGTAATACATCTGAGTTATGTCTTAACATACTGTATGCATACATGCACACACACACACCCCTACCTTTAAAAAATCACAGAAAAATGTGTAAGATGACATTACATCAAATAGATAGTTGATACTGGAATGCAGAAAAACAGAATATTACTCTTTTTTTATACCTCTACATTATTTGAATTATTAAAACAAACATGCATTGCCTTTCAATGCATGTTTCAATACATGTTTGTTTTAATTGCTTTTCAAGTTATATGTCAAAAATTGTTTATACATGTACCACTAACACATATGTACATGAGTGCCAAAAGTGATGGTATTTTCAAGTAAATGTTTAAATTTCCTATTTTATAATAATTATTGTAATCATTCTGCTGAAAAGATTATATTCAAGAAACTAGATACTAGTTACATGATTCTTATTTACAACTCCAAAAGAAAGAAAAGAAAGTGCATAGGTTTCAGGAAACCAAGGGATATTTCATGAAGGCTCTATTTCCCTGATCTTCTGATTGCCATAAAAAAATACTGAACAAACACCTGTTTCTACAGGTCTTGGAACAAGGACTACACACAACCTGTTGGAGACACAAAGACTGTAGACCGCACTTCTCATCTGGGCTGAAGGAAAAGAAAGACATGCTAGAACACCCTAACTGATGTTTAGGGGCTTTTCCCTGACACCAACACTCTGCATGGTCCTGGAAGAGGCCCTGGCAATGTCTTCAAACTGTCATGTGTGAAAACAAGATACCTTTGTATTGTTTTTCTTAAATAAGGTTCCCTAAATTGTATCAGTTTCAAGCTCTACAAAATCTGGATCTGTCCAGTTTGAAGGTAAGTTGAATTACAAATAACTGCTACTTATCCAAAGGCATCAATATCATTATACAAATGGTATTTATTCTTGAAGAGGTAAACTTTATTAGTCATTTGTAAAACTTGTATTTTGTATTTGATGTACCTGAGTGAATAGTGAATTGTTTCTAAGAACTTTAAAACAGTCTGTCCCAAAGAACAAAATGTGGGATCAGTACTTAATGAACCACAGAGGAGATATACAGAACACCTGAAAAAAACTATAAATCCAAATTCAGCAAGACTGGCATAGAAGCAGTAAGTAAGTGCTCACCAGCCAAGGGATAAAGATGTCCTCATTTAAGATGAAGTTGGTCAGACATGCAAACACGAAGCCACAGTAATAAAAGCTAGTGTCACCACTACAAACTGTCAAGGGGAGATGGCAGGTTAGCCAATGAACTTAGATCTAATATACAGATGGGTGAACAGGTTCATAATGAACATACCTGACCTATTTCTGAATCCACTAGGCAAGACACACCCAACCTCAAAAACAAAAGGGCATCAGACTAATTTAGCCTGATTCCATTAGGATATCTAATTTATCTAATCCTCCTTGTGGTAATTTCATGTTCACCAAATAAACTTTTCATCGCTACTTGGCTTTCTACCCCATGAGATGCCAATATTCTGACCCTTGTGACTGCCTAATACAATTACAGATCAATAAAAGGAGAGTCCAGTTTCTATATCAGTCACATTAGCTTGCTTAATAGGACTGGATTCTGAAAATGGAATCCATTTTCATTTGCTCTTGAGTTTCTGAGGCCAATGGCCACACCCTGAATGGTGATCAATGCAAGAAGGGACCTCTTGGGGAAACATCACGCCAGCCTTCCCTTTGAAAAGTGCCAGTCCCTGTGTGACTAGCGTAACTTCCAATCTGTACTTTAATTATCCTCACTGGACACTGTCAGCAATCTTGTCAAACAATAAAATGTCTAAAGTAAATATAAACAAGATGTACATAAAATGAAAAACATGTAAGTTTTTTACATTCCTTCTTTCAAATATAAACTTATGCCACATTACATTTCTTAAGTATCAATTTATTCCAGATAATACTTCCTGGGCTTCTAAGCTTTTGAAAATTATTTTTTACCTATGTGATTGATTATTAAGGTTTAGCGATCCGGTCTGGTACATCTCTTCCAACTGTTTCCTGTTTCCAAAGTATAAAGCAAGGTCTGTGGCAATGATGGCTTTGCGGATGATCTCAAGCACCTGCTCGTATTCACTGGAGCTCAGAGTGGAGAAGATATTGTGCCCTTCCAGCTATGGAAAAAATACAAATAAAAACCACCAATAACAAGCACAAGCTCTAATCTTACGACATTTTCAGTTATTTGAAACAATATAATTTCAATGTCATTTGGCACACTAAAGAAAGGTTTTGGGGAAACAAAAGAATAGTTAGAAATGACTAATGAAAATTACATTTTGGTTTCTCTTTAAGCTACAGAAACAATGAAACTACCACTTAAATAAACTACTGTAACTACAATAACATCATTTACTACCATAAAACCCCAGTGATTTAAATATATCTAGTTCTTGGATATTTCTAATAGTTAAAAAACTGGAAAATGTAAAATATTTAAGTTGAAACTTTTCCTCTTAAGCAAATTAAAAACTTCAGTAATCTTCGTATTATACTAGAACCTTAATGGCCTTAAAAAGGCGTCTGTATCCTTGTCCACTTCAGGTTGTAACATATCAAAGCATGCTTAATGGGTAGTAATATATTTCTCTGTATCCTAGAAGAAAATGTCCTACAACCTCAATAAAATGTTTATTCAAACACATTAAAAACTCTAAGGGCAAGAGTACCTTTCCCTACAACACAAATCACTGAAGGTGATTCTAGAATCATCTTCTATTCTCAAGGGAGGTGGAAATGGCAGATCATCACCCTAAACAAGACCAGAACTTTGGTAATCTGGATTCTATTCACTCAGAATATCCTTCGTGTATTAATCTTTTAAAAATTTTATAATAATTTCGATTCATCAATTATTTTGATACTTTTCATTATTAGTCAATATAGTACTACTCAAAGTTGATTTTTAATTAATTTCACTTTTAACATACATTTATTGAGTTAAAATACAGTAAAAACAATGATTGAAGTATATTTCTTTACAAAATTAGACATCTCACTAAGACACTGTCTCTTCATATTCTTAAATGAAACTGTACATGCACCATTTGCTTTCAATTATCAGAATAGCCCCATATTATTTGCTGTTAAAGTCTCAGAAGTATTTGAATTACTGTGTGATAAATGCAGCAAGTGGACTCAGGTCTAGTTATTTATTTTCCTGACAATAACAGTAGTAAGGTCTTACATTTGTAGAAAGTTCTATAGTTTACAAAAGCAGTTTCAAATACATGACTTCATTTTCAAATTATAAAACTTAAATTAGTTCAGAGTTCCCACATGGATTATGCATGAGATGCTATGAGATGAGCCGTTTGAGCACAGGCTGGTTAGTGACTGATGGGGACAACGGGAGGGGACTCAAGCTTTGGGCTGGTGGCTGAATTCAATTTTCATCCAACCTCAACTCTCTTCAATTTTGTTGTAGAAAGTTATAAGAAGGAAATATTTACTCGGATTCATGCTATGGTATCTGCTTTCCTTTGATGTGACCACAACTTAAGTGAAGCAGGTAGCCTCTGCTTCAACACTGAATGCCTGTGACCTCTATTTCCCACTTCATGAACATGTTTCAGCATATCTGGCTGGTGCTCATGCATGCATCTGCTTTCAGCAGGTCATGTGAAGGGAATCACAGCTGCTACAATTTTATGCTTTGTATTCGTATGCTTTACTCTCTTTATCACCAATAATTATCACCATAACTTGTTAAATTAGAGTATATAAAATATTCTAGTCTGCTGTTGACATTTAAAAAGAAATATCCCTAAATTTAGCCTAGGCTCTATAAATTCTGTAGGGGGACAAAAGAGTTACAAGCTCACTGCAATTCTACACACTGCGTATGTCATCTATCAGCTCACGTTTTTATCAGAGTCCCAAAAGTATCGACTGGCCCAGAACAAATTAAGCTTTATTTTAAAGAATTTATATATTCTACTGACTACTTCAGAGTCATTACTTTTCAGTATTAAAGGAAACTAGGTGAAAAAGCTCCACAGAGGGCTTTTATAATAAAAAGGTCTAACTCATTTACTGTCCCCTTCAATAATTTACAAGAGTAAAGGGAATGAATGAATAATCAAAAAATAAATGTCTCCCTTTTCTTTCTTTGAGACACAGTCTCACTCTGTCGCCAGGCTGGAGTGGATCTCTGCTCATCACAACCTGTGCTTCCCAGGTTCAAGTGATTCTCCTGCCTCAGCCTCCCGAGTAGCTGGGATTACAGGCATGCACCACCCCACCTGGCTAATATATTTTTTTTTTTTGTATTTTTAGTAGAGACAGGGTTTCGCTATGTTGGCCAGGATGCTGTTGATTTCCTGACCTCTTGATCCACCTGCCTCGGCCTCCCAAAGTGCTGGGATTACAGGCATGAGCCACTGCTCCCGACCATGTCTCCCTTTACTTTAAGAGAATCTAGCATTTTGCTGCTACCCAAACTAAAGAAAATATGGAAGGGAGACACAAGCAAGGAAGCATAGCAGATAAACAGTGTCTTCTTTAAACCTCCAACCTCACATTCGTTAACACATAATAAATCCTTATAATGCATTATAATACTTTTATACGCCAATTGATAATTTTACTATAGTTACGTAGTTTGAAGTCTATGTTAATTCAAGCTAGTTGATTCCATTTTGCATCAATCGAGCAGGAAATAGTAGACTTTTTATACCTAGGAATGTTTCTAAAACTTTATGCGGGTGAACAGCATGTAATTCTTAACTCTACGGAAGCCCACAGGTAGGCTCTGGTTGTATGTCAACGCTGGGGCTGAGATCTGGTATTAGAGAATGGAAACAATGTTGAAATTGGTGCTGATGCTGAAAGATGACCCCGGGACCGCCTTGAATAGATGATTGTCAATACTCCTTCCAGCCCTTAATCATGAGGATCCTAAAGGCTCTTAGTATTCTGTCCACTGCTGGAGGATTAGGGAACCACTACCTTTGGAAAAAAAATGTCAATGATGCAACTAAGTGCATCAAACATTCATGATGGTAATGCCTTTAAAGTATCTATAATACTGATTTTGAAATTTAATTACCTAGTACATCAAACCACATATTAGGAAGCATTACAGTACTGTAATTAAGAGCACAGATTTTGGAGCCAAATAATTCTAGTTTTTAATGTCATTCTGCCACTGATTAGTGATGTGACAAATAGAATACTTAACCTCTTTGATGCATATTATTCTCATCTGTAAAATGAAAATAAATAATAATATCTATCTCATGGGGATATAATAAAAATAAACTGTATTAAAATATGTACAAAACATTTAAGTTTCTGGCGCATTGTAAGTACCCAATATATGATAAAATGATTACTATTATAATAGTGATGATTGATGATGATGATGATGATGATAAAATCTACCAGTAAAACTTCCACAGTCAGAGTTAAAGGAGAGATGAAAAAACAAACAAATATATGCCTAAAAATGAATTTGATAGCCAAATACCTTTTCTATTCAGAACACAGCTGTAGAAAAGGACGGATTTAAACTAGCCACTGTGTCACGTATTTTAGATTACCAGTACAGTTGAATATAAGTACAATAATTTAAGTATAATTGTAATACACAACAGCAAATTGTACCTAGTGTAGAGAAACTGGAAGAACTCTCTAGCTGAGTCACAGAAATAGTGCTGCTGTAAAGAGTAGTAAGAAGCCACGGGATCCCAAAATGTTGATATAAATAGATAATTTTCTGAAATATGATCACATTTCAAAAGCAACAGATAACTTAAGATTGGTGGAATATTAAGGAAATGTTCTTAATAATGAGAATAATCATTCCTAATTGGTCTGTTTTCTAAAATTTTGACTATTTTCAAAGTCAAAATGGGGTATTCAAAGAAGGCAAAAGAAAGAAAAAAGTATAGTTTCAATGTTCAAAATAATCAATATCTCATGAGTAAACAGAATAAATTGATTTAATATTCCAGCAATAATGGTTCAATCACCATTACTAATTGCAAGCTAGTAAGTTTTAGGCAAGAAAACAAAGCTCACCTACGTTCTTGGATGTAACTGTCCACACAAAACAGTCTCCTCACGTGAAAGCAATCTGCTTGCCTTCTTCCCCTGCTCAGCGTCTCAGCTCTCTGTCCCACCGGACACAGCTACTCACTAACCTTACATAAAGCCTCAGGTTCAGTCTCTGAGTGCTGGTTCTGCCCGCTCTGCATCTTTCCCTCCCCATGCTCTACCTTCACACTTCCACTTGTGCCCATATCAACAGCCCCAGAGGTGGGCCTGTGAGTCCAGAGGTGAAGAAGGGGCAGTGACTCTCCTTAACAGCTTCTAATTCAGAAGAGGTGGGAAGCTGAACTCACAAACAGAAAATGTCAATACAATGTTAAAAACAAACAAACAAACAAACACAAACCACTAAGACGTATGTATGCTGGAGGTGCTCAGGCGCTCAAAAGGGGGCAGTGCTGTACCCCAGTGATGTGGGGATGCAGTCAAAGAATTTTACTGGATGAGGTCATGCCTGAGTTGGGGACCACAGAAAGGGTGTGGGGTAATTACACGTAGAGGGAACCTGGCCAATGGCACAGAGTTAAGATACGGTCTGAAACTACAGAAGCAGAGCAGATACTGTGGTCCTGGAACAGACAGGGGCCTCTCATAAAAGACTTGTATATCAACTGAGAAAACAGGAAATTATTCCAGAGGCCCCAGAGAGCCACTAATGACTTTTAAACAGGAGAAAAACATATTCAGACATATATTTGGAGGATGGATTTGAGACAAAAACACTCAGGGAAACACTGATGGATAAGGGGGAAAAGGTGGAAAAACAGACAAAATACAAGGAAGGCTGAAACTGGGATGTCAATTAGGGACGGTGCTTGCCACTTGGGAGCTGTAGTGGTTAGAGGGGCCAGATTACCATTTACTAGAGACTCAAGTGAGTTTCCTCTCTGCTAAATGTCCACCATGACCTCTACACAGCAACGGGCCCCAAACACCACGAAAACAATCCTGATGGCCAGCATTAAGACACAATGGGAAGCTCAGGGATGCAGATTGACCGTCTCTGCAGATGGTCTTGTATTTACCCTTACTTCGTGACTTAATCTCTTCCCACTGCCCACTCAACATGGGATTATCTACTGCATCCCTATCACTGTAACCAACGTCAAGGCAAGCTGTGAGCAAATACACACTTCCCGCTTTTCTCTACCATGAGTAACGTGTGTGTGTATGTGCGAGTGTGTGTGTGTGTGTGTGTGTTTGTGGAGGGAGATGGAGAGAGAGGGAGGGAAGGAGAGAGAGAGAGAGAGGGAGGGAGGGAGGGAGGGAGGGAGAGAGAGAGACAGAGCGATTGAAGGACAGCTTTTTCAAATCTATTGTAATATTCTCCTTGCTTGCTGTTGTCACTGTGTTAGCTAGCAGTATTCTCCTGAATGCCCTGCTTATCCAGTAGATACCACTGGCAGCCATACTGAAAGCTGGCACTCAGGTTGGCAAAACTACAATAAGCAGCCACATATGCAACACACACCTGTGAAGATGCCTGATGGGGAACTATTTCCAACCATCATACACAAAATTGCTTATGTTGTATCCGTCTGTGTGACCCAAGGATGGGCAGTGCCATGCTCACAATCATCTGTGTGGCAATGCAGATCAAGAGAGCAATGGGAAAAGTCTTGTGGATAAACAGAAGTATCACAGGCATTCATATCATGAAACTACATAATGTTCTATTTTAATGACTGGAAGTTGGAATTTTTAACTGTTACCCAAGGATAGCATCTTAATTAGTCAAGCTTATAGGTGTCTTTTGATGAAACATAAAATCAGCAGCACTTGGTGGTAACAGGATGGAGGGATGGGAAGATAAGGCTAAAGAAGGGAAAAATGGTGACTCTAAGGTCATCAGCCTGCTTTCCTGGGTCAATGAGGTTGCCACCACAGAGATACAAAATACAAAAGGCACCTAAAGTGTAATACCAAAGCACAATTCGGGCCATACGGAATACAGGGTTCAGGTGCTTGGGCAGAAGTCCTATTGAGCACTAGGCAGAATCACACGGGTCTGAGAGTCCTCAGGATACCACTGTCAGTTAGAGTCACGGGTGTGCCAGGTGGTGGGCCAATGAGAAGAACAACGTAAGGGCCGAAGTCAGGGAACTCAGGCCTTCCTCACTCTAGACTGTGAGTTCCAGAGGACAAGGATTTGTGGTTGTTCTATTTATCACTATATCCCCAGTGCTTAAAACATGTGTTGGCAAATAGAAGGTGCTCAATAAATCTGTTTGTTATTAAATTGAATTTCAGGGACAAGTTAGATGAATCTCAAAAAAAAAAAAAAAACACTCAGAGAAGTATCATGAGGATTACTGCAAAATCAGCCAAGAGCACAGCAATTTTCAGAAGAGGAAGACACTCTTTCCTGAATATTCCTGCTCATGTAGATTGGGCTATCTGTTTATGGCTTCGATATCATTTCTCTCTGGGCATAGGTCAAATTGAAGGGATTTGGTCAATCGAATACATAAATTTGTTTTCAAACTGGTAGTGCTTTTCATCTTAATTTGCAGCAATCCCGAGTTCTTATTCCCAGCTTCTGTTTTTGTGGTGTATCTGGTACCTTATCTTCTCTAACTAGGAGAACAAATTTGCCGTTATTATTACTTCACCAATGACTGAAATTCCAGCTCTAGTATCTGAATCTATTCTCCCACTCCTTTTTGAATGCCAACAGCTTACCTGTCTGAACTTAACTTACTGCCATGAGTTCCCGTTAGTAGTTCTCATCTTTTTTAGGAACACTGCCTTAAGTCATCTGAAATCGCCACATCGCTGAGGGTTTGCCAAACTGGGGGCAAACCACCCTAAACATCCATTTTTCGATGTCAGCAACTGGGCCAAGTCTTCCCAGGGCTTAGGTGGACCTGGAGCCTCCCCATCCCCACCCGCCTTGATGTGACTGCTATATTACAAGGTTTATTTTTTATTCTACTCAGTGGCAATAAACTTCGCAAATCTGGTCTTCTTCAAAACTAATCCTATTGTATTTAATACAGGCTTTCTAAAGAAACTCTATACTGGCTATTGAAATTTAGCTGTGATTAAACTGGTAGCAATGTTGTACTGTCAAATGCATGAATTCATTTAGGACATGGGATGCTAATTCAGTGACTCCTAATTATTTCTAAGTGAAGTTGCCCTGATGTTGTTTCTGGCGTTTATTCATCTTAGACAAATAAAGAGTCTCCATTGATGAGTGAGGTCAAAGTAGACATCAGCTGTCATGAAGTTTTAGAATGTTCATCCATTTACAGAAAGCATGTTTTACATATATGTATAAATATATGTACACATACATATACACACACGCCTTTTATCCTGCTTACATTTCTATGTATCCTTGTTTTATGCATGGACATATCTATGTAAACATATGTCATTTAAAAAGGAAAGAGCTGGTGTCAAGCAAATGACAGGAATGATGACTACACGTTGCTTTCAGGAGTCAACTGGCCCACGAGCAAGCTTAACATCAGCTGCCTACTGGGGATGGCTTGAAAATGACTAAAATAGCTCCATATCTGAAATACTTTTCACTTCTCCCCAGCAGGTAATTCGAAGAGCACCCAGAATCGAGTAAGGTGACCATTGACCTTCGTGGGACTGAGGACATGAGACCTGGAAGGTCAGTTTTGCTGGGTTTTGGAAAGGACTGAGCATGCAGCACTACCAATCACACGGACAGTTAAGTCAAATGAGGAGGCACTAAGAGAAGCCTTTGGGAAACTGAAAGGAGAAAACAAAATCCTGGCATTTAGAGGAGGCCTGGCTTATTCAACAGAGAAAAACTGCACCAAGTGGCAAAAGCTTTTCTGCTTCGCAACTTGCCTATGGCCAGTTACTGGCAGAGTCACTGTTGGCATTTTGCTATGACATCCTCAAAACTCAAAATCCTTTCCCTTAGACTCATGATTGGAAGACGTAACAAGGATTTCTCTTCCTACTTAGAGGTGCTGACAGTGAGGGGAAAATATAGGGCCCACTATACTTAAGCTGAACACAGATTATATTTTTTAAAATTGTTTGTGATAGGAATCAAATCATTATGATGTAATGGCTACCTTGGTAAGGTGAGTTTGAGAAAAATCATTTAAGAAAGAAGGAGCGCATATATCCCATGTTGAAGTGATATCTGTGATTGTCTACATCAATTACCAAGAACATCTTAAAGGTAATAAAATAAATAAACAAAACACACAATCTAAAAAAAAAAAAAAAAGCTACAATGCCCTTAAAACCTTATATTTACCTAACTTTTAAGATTTACTGTTCAATACGTTCCGGTTCAAGAATATGATACTCTATAGAATTAATTGATTTAAATTACATAAAATAAGTAATGCTTTAAGGTTACATGTACTTATTGATATAATATTTAAAAAACAAATGTAAGTGCAAAATACGTACATTCAAATTCTTTGTAAAGGATTCTTTATGCAAAAAACACTATTATTTAATGATGACTATAAATACAACATTCTACAATGAAACATAGCTGTTGCTTTTAAGGAAGCCATAATGATCTTCCTTTTCCACCTATGAAGTGCCACTATCTCCCAGGCAGCCCTTGAGACTAAGCGGGAGACGGTGTGCGGTGACTCACCTGCAGGATGGACACGGTCTGGGAGAAGTGGTGCTGCTCCATGGTGGAAGTGGAGTAGAGAGCTGCTAGAGGGTGGTCGAACTTCTGCAGGTAGGTGTTACTGAAGCCCCTGTGGTCTAGGTCATGACACAGACACGCGATCAGCAGCCCTTTGCGCTTTAAAACACGACATGATGCAGAGATGTTCAAAACACAGAAACACACATGAGCAGACTTACCGCTTACATTCGTGTCACATTACTTTCTGGCATTAATATAGCACACACATGGCATTCTGGCATAAAGAATCCTACACAAATAGAGCAAATCCTTAGGAATCTTTGAAATTCCAGATAATCTAACTCATTTGTAGCCCCTTTCTTTGTTTCTCTGCTTACGAACGAGAGTCAAATTATTTTTGAGTTTCTCTCTCAACTCTAGGAAAAGGTGCAGGAGGTTTCAACGTAAAGGTATAAAGCAAATGCTCCAAAAAATTACAGATAAAGCAAATCTGCACAAGGAAAGAAAGGCCAGATTCAGCAAAATCTATTCGATGTTATCTAACAATGCTATCGCTATTATAAACAATAAATATAACAGGTAAATCATATCGCATGTAAAAATGGCAAATATATAGAAAGAAAGACAGAGCAGACTAACGGAAATTAAAGAAAGTCAGGCTGAGTACAAAATAAACTAGGCAGGCACGCCTCATTAAAAGGCCAGGTGTGAGGAGAGACCTGAAAGAGAGGAAGGAGAGAGGCAAGTGAGTGTGGGACAGGAGCACACAGGGCAGGGGAGCAGTGACAACATAAACTTGGAGGTGAGTGTGCCCTGAGACTTGGAGGATCAGGAAGGTGGCCAGTGGGGTCAAGGGCAGGGGAGGCAGTCAATATACAAGGCTTATATTCTCAGTGATCGGAGGAACTATTATCACAGGGTTTTTTAACAGAGCAGTGTTATCATTTTGGTTCTATGTTTACAAGATTATTCTGGCAACTGTGTTGAAAACAGACTCCAGAAGGATGAGAGATCAGTGAGGAGGTTTCTCAAGTAACTGAGGCAAAATATAATAGAGCTTTAGACCAGGATAACAACAATGAAAGCTTCTAAGGGGTGATTAAAGTCTGGATGCGTTTTGCAGGCAGAACCAACAGGATTTTTTGACTGTCAGAGTGTGAAAAGAAAGGAGGTGATAAGGGGTCAAGTATGACCTCAAATGTTTTGGTCTTAGAAGCTGTAATGATCAGCATCAACTGATATGGGAGAAGTACAGGTGGAATGGGTTTGAGGAGAGAGGTCAGGAGTTCACATTTAGACTGAGGCCAGGAGTCTACTTGATAGTCAAGAGGAGATTTGACAAGCGGAGATTTTGTTTTGACAGGTAGCAGCTACTGAAGCCTCAAGGCCTGGAGACAGGCCTTTGCTAGAGAAAGTGCCCATGTGGCATTTAAGGCCACATGACTGGCTGAGCTCACCAAGGTTGTAGTTTGAGGTCGGAGGAGGGTCAAGGTCTAAGCTCTCAAGTACTCCCAATTCTAAAATAAATCATCCAGTGGGCAATTAAATACTTGATAAAAATTGAAGGGAAGAAAGAATCAGAACTCTATAGGTTAAAACCTATTATAACAAATTTCATATGACGGTTTCTATTCTCTCGTGAAGGGATTGTGAGTGGAATGCAGGTTATGCCAAACACTGCTTGAAAAGATTGAAGTGTTTAAAGAATATTAGGAGACTCAATGTGTTAATAACAATCACAATCAGAATTTTATTTTGAAAGACAAATTATACCTGTAAAGGGGGAACAGCCTGCATGGTCTAAGTCTGAGGAAAGAGAAGGATTAAGAAAAAAACAACAACAACAAAACAAAAACAAACAAACAAAAAATCCCAAGGAAGGAACAGCTGGTGCATTAGCAGGAAAACTGAGTGCCGAATGTCCCGGGATTCAAGTGAAGACACTGAGGACTGACCCTCGGATCTTGCCGGGTGCAGGTCACTGGTGACCTGGAGCAGGGCATTTTCCGGGGTGTTAAGTTCAGAAGCTTGATCAGAGTTGTTTGCAGAAAGAATGCGAGGAGAGGATTTTGAAAGAGCCAGTAGGGTAACACTTACAAGGGGTTTACTGCAAAGAAGAGCTAAGTAACAGGGAGGGAGCTGAGGAGAGTGGCAGATCAGAGCATATTCTAAGAGGGAAGTAAAAACTGCATGCGTACATGCAGATGGCAATGATCCAGAAAAGAGGGGTGAGAGCATGATAACGGAGGAGAGAGAAGAGAGGGAAGCACTGGTAGACAGTGCTCTCAAAGAGGTGGTGGCGACAGATATGACAAAGCAGAAGGGTCAGTGCTGGAGAGGAGTGTGAAGGTTTAAGAGAAGTGTGCAAGGCAGAGCCTGCTGAGGGCAGATGCGGACAGATGGGGGTGCTGGGATGGGAGTCGGCAGAAGTCCTCACGGGCGCATTTTTAGCGATATGCCTGCTTCTTTATCCTGATAATGCAGGACTGGTTTTTCCCGCAACATAATTGGAAAGGAAATCTCACCAGCAACCCCTAACCCCATGAAGTATCACGTTAACAATCATACTTGCCTGGCATTCTTAAGATAACTGAATTAATTATGTTGTTAATATCATTTTGTTTTGGGGTGGTTTCCATGTTTTATGCTGCTGTGTCATCATGATGTACCTGATAAGAAATCTCAAGAGTTTTACAATCTTGCACAATATGTAAAAGTTATCATCTTTCCAGTTTTTAAATTCACTTTTAAAATTGATGTGACCTTCAGTAGTTTTATTAAAGGTGTGCCAGAATCATACATCTGAAAATAATGTATAAAGAATCACCCTTCTTAAGCATTTCCCTTTAACAAGATCAAACGATAACTTCTAATAGTTCTCTTAGAGGTTAAATTTCTTCTTTATAAAATATGTTTTAAATATTTACATATGTCATTTGAGGATTATTTTTCAGCCAAAACGATCTGATGTTTTGGGAAAATGTAATGATATAATTCTAGAAATGAATTAAGAACTTGAATGAGAGTCAATATGTATCAACAAAGTTTTTCTCACTTACCGTTAAATTTTCAACTTTTTGAATATAAATTGCAATGCAATTTGAGAGTACAATTTCTATAGTTCTTAAACTCACAAGGTGTGGCAAAATGGCAAAACAAGACAATGAAATTGCTTTCTTAAAAGGAATAGAATGGAGAAAATGCTCAAAGTCTCAACAATATGGGGTTCAATAGAAAAGGACTTTGTTACGACAAACAGGAAAAAAGGACCGATTTCATCTGGATCTTTTGGGCGGAGGTAATAAATAATAAATTACTGATGAGGTTAAACTCCACTTGAACTAATGATTGTTTTGAAAAAGTAACAAAAACTAGAGGATAATTTTTTATTCTGTCTTTAAAATGCTACTATTTTTTTTTTTTTTTCCTAGAATGCATCTTTCGAGTTTTCCACACAGATTGTGAATTTGGTCCAATAGGATGGAAAAGGATAGGATGGACCTTCACAAGCACTGGATTCTAGTTTAAATGTGAATTTGAGAAAAGCACAATTTATGTATCACAAAGATAACAGCTCCTTTCTCTGGACAGTCATAGGTCCCCTAAAAGATGAAACCAGTTTTACAGAGGAGAGAAAGGAGGACTCCATCTAAGGTGTGAGCAGACACTCCCAGGATCAGTGTGGTCAGAGGGAGGGATATCCTTCAAAGTCGGGATTGTCCAGATGTAGAATCAGCATCCTTTGTGGCCACGAGTCACTAAGCGCTAAGCCTGGCTTTCAAGTAAGGGACTGTGACTATGGTTGACGAATGGAAGTGGCCATCTCCAATTCTAACTCTGAGATTCTGAAAGCTTTGGATATGTCACCAACTCTGGGTATTTAAAGTTGGGCAAATTAATTAAACATTTCAGATCCTTTGTTTCCTCATGCTAGAGGAGGTCAAAATCATTTCTGTCTTCACAGTATTTAATGCTCTAGGTTCTCAAATAGACAGGATACATCTACATTATCCAGGGCATATAAGCAATGAATAAAATTCACTGTTTATATCCCTTCAGAACATTTAAGCTTTAACAGAGAAGGCTTTAATACAGAAGGCTACAAAATTAGTGATTCTTTGGGGGATATTTTGATGAGGTTAAAATTTCTTTTATCTACATTTCTTATACAAAATAATATGCTAAATGCTCGGGTTTAGGAATCAAAAAACGGGATGCCCTTGATTTAGTAAGCCAAAATTTGTCTTGGAATAACATGTCACAAATCCATGTCATTAATGTGCTCCCGATACACAGTATTAAATCCACGGAGGTTACGAGAAACAGCGGTGAAGAGTGCATACCCACCTCCAGGTCTGTGAAAAGCGCGTGGTTGTTCTGAAGTATGGCGTACATGCAGTGTGCCACAGTGACCGCATGCTTCCAGTTGTGATAAGGAACCCGCCGATAGTTCTTCTTCACAGACATAATAAAACGACACAACTTTTCGAGCTCAAAGCTGCATGGAAAAGAAACTGTTATGACCAAAACCAGTAGAGAATCACTAGGTTACAGGAGAACCCCCTAGTTTAGGTACACATATGTCTGTATCTTACACACTTGCAACTCTAAAGATTTCCACCCTAACTGAATCCATAAGCACTGGAAACTCATTCACCAGTTCCTTTCCAGTTCTCTAGCCAAAAAAGAAGAGAATAAAGACTCTTTTATGGTATCTGTTGTGATATAGTGACTGTCCCACCGGCGAGAAAATATCAGCATTTGTACACAGTCACCTGTCACCAGCCCTCATGATTTTCTTTAGTTATATGTTCACTTCCTAAACCCCACAGTGCTCAAAGGACAACAACCCAGCACCATCTTGCTAACAGGTATTTTGAGCTAATATTTGCCAAAAAGAATATTCAGACTTACAAACGGCAAATATGTGTATCATGAGACTTTTCAAAGCAATTCCAAAGTATTGTTTTATTATATACTAAAATTGTTAAGTCCCAAATGAACATATCCAAATACTTACATAGTATATAAAATAATGTATATTTTATTACACATATTGTTATACTATGTGTTTATATTATTATGTACTTATATGTATTTAAGACTCTCTAAACTCTCAAAATAGACTTGAGACAGCTTAAAACAAAAGCATATATAATACAAGGCTTTCTGAAATACCAAGGAGGTCGAGAATTCATAAAAACTTAAAAAAATATGTAACCTGTGTTTCTCTCCACTGAAAATTTTCAAATGTATTTGAAGTATAAGGTATGGCATTTTAAGAATTCCAACTGATCAAACTCTCAACTGCATTCTGAGAATTAACTGGAGTTAGGTATCCCATGTGCATCCTTTTGAAACACTAATTTACAAAAAGTCACAGATAGGAAAGACATAGACTTCAAGAGGAATGACAATTAAGTTCTAGAGAAACTAAGAGGTTCTATAAGACATTTAATTCCTAAATGAGTAAAAAACAGCAAAAGAAAACAATTCCTTGCATTTTAACATTGCATGTTTACACTGTAAAGGATCAGATATAAAGTCAGAAAAGGCCTCTAGGACAGCCAAATTGGGTGGGGAAAAGATTTGCAATGAAATGGTGCCATAATTAAATTACTGACAAAGTACCACACTTTGAATAAGAAGACATGTTACTTTTTGATCTATTCTAATAGATACATGATGGCAGGTTGAAAGTCGATGCTATTTACACGTGGTATTCTAAACATTTTTTAAATTTTTATTATACTTTAAGTTCCAGGGTACATGTGCAGAACGTGCAGGTTTGTTACATAGGTACACATGTGCCATGATGGCTTGCTGCACCCATCAACCCTTCATCCACATTAGGTATTTCTCCTAATGCTATCCCTCCCTTAGCCCCTGACCCCCTGACAGGCCCTGGTATGTGATGTTCCTTTCCCTGTGTCCATGCGTTCTCATTGTTCAACTCCCACTTATGAGTGAGAACATGCGGTGTCTGGTTTTCTGTTTCTGTGTTAGTTTGCTGAGAATGATGGTTTCCAGCTTCATCCATGAAAGGACATGAACTCATCCTTTTATGTTTGCATAGTTTCCATAGTGTATATGTGCCATATTTTCTTAATCCAGTCTATCATTGATGGGCATTTGGGTTGGTTCCAAGTCTTTGCTATTGTGAACAGTGCCGCAATAAACATACATGTGCATGTGTCTTTACAGTAGAATGATTTATTATCTTTCGGGTATAAACCCAATAATGGGATTGCTGGGTCAAACAGTATTTCTAGTTCTAGATCCTTGAGGAATCACTAGACTGTCTTCCACAATGGTTGAACTAATTTACAATCCCACCAACAGCATAAAAGTGTTCCTATTTCCCCACATCCTCTCCAGCATCTGTTGTTTCACGACCTTTTAATGATCGCCACTCTAACTGTCATAAGATGGTATCTCATTGTGGTTTTGATTTGCGTTTCCCTAATGACCAGTGACGATGAGCTTTTTTGCATATGTTTGCTGGCTGCATAAACATTCTGGTCAGTAGTAACCCCTGTTTCTTTCAGTTACACCGCCAAATGAAATTCTAGCCTCTGTTTTTATGAAAGCTTTTTGGATTTGTTTTTTAACCAGGCTACAACCACGTTGCTAGAGCCCCAGCAGAAAATCTGAAAAGGCTGCATGTTTGTACAATAATCTCAGCCCTTTTTTATTTGAATATTTAGAAAAAAAGTTATTTATATATGCAATATTTTAAAATAATTTCAAACAAAGATGGTGGTGAGGCATATATGTAGAAGGAGGAAGAGGTTATGTCACCCAATATTTCAAACAGTAAATTTTAAAGTCATTCATACCAGGATGTCCCACAGGACCGATGAACCATGTAGACAAAAATTCCAGGCCACATGTTTTCAAAAGGACCAATGTCAAAGTGGAATCTGAAATTTTAAAAGGGCAGTTTATCACTAAAGGTAATTAGAATGAACATAATAAGTAAAGAAAATCATTTAACTTTTTTGTACCAAGGAGCTAAAAAGACACTGGGAGCTCAGCCATCCCTTTTTCTGCCTTCTCAGCCACATCTCTCTGGTACTGAAAGATTTTCAGGAATAAATTCCACATATTTATTCCCTTAGAAATCTAGTCCAATATCCAAGTTATTGATTCATTTTCTATTAATCTGTTTAAAATGATGCTTCATTTGTTATCAGAGAAATTAAAAGAACAAAAAGGTGTATTACAAATATTAGATACGTATACAATCATAGAAAAGGGGGAAAAGCCTTTTCAGAAGTATTTTTGGAGTTGAAATTGTTTTATCTCCTATTTTAACTGCGATAACAATTTCACTAATATAAACACCAAAGTTATTACCTATTTTTCATTTGCTAATTTAGTTACCAACATTAGACTTGAATTAACGGTATGGTATAATATATACTATAATTTCAACTGTAAGGCAAATAGTAGCTCTAAGTCACTTCTGAAGGTTTCCTGTGTAGATACTGTTGGCTTACACTTACAATGAACATACAAACAGCTTCTAGTAACTTAAGTATCTTAACATAGGATTAAAAAATAAAGTATGAAAGTCAAACTATGACAAAATTCTTGAATTTAATTTGGAAGTTTAAATTTATAGGGAAATGAGAACTTTTTGATATCTTATGTTAAATGCCATTTTGAGTGTCAAATATTAAATGGTATAAAGTATGCAACACACTAATGAGAAATGCTAACATTTCGGTTAACTCATTTCAAAACTGAGTTCAGATTTTCTTTTTTAAGGTAATGAGATCTGGCCTTTATTTCCAAATCCTCTCATACTATCTGGAATCACTTTGGAAGGAGAAAATGGCAACACATGAAACTCCACATGTAATACGAGTATAATAATTGTGACTCTAATTCTATAATCTGTCTCACTTTAAGTTCAATTCAATTAAAAATCGTTCCTGAAGAAACTGACAAAGCAACATACTTACAATTCAATTTCTTTGCAGAGACGCACAGGAAGGGTAAATTGCATGAGGCCTTGCCACTCTTCTGCAGTACAAATGCTATGGTAGGACAGCTTTTCCATTGTTACCCGGTAAATGCACTCTGAGTGGCGAATTCTATGATACATCTAGAAGGCAAATCCAAAAAAAAAAAAACCCAAAATTAAAATAATATTTAAAATGTTTTGTCACTGAAGTTCAGAATTTGCTATTAAAGAATCAGAACTAGAATTAAAACCAAAGTAGATTTATTATTATCCATATTTCCATATGCACAGGGATGTGCACACATGACTCTGCAGATTCAAAAGAAATTTTTTTTTTTTAAAAAGATGGTATCTCTGCTTTAAAAGTTTTCCTCAGACATCTCTTGGTAATGAGGTTACTTGGCATTTGTCTTCTTTAAAATGCTCTGTATTTCTGTATTTTTAAATAATAAAAATTAAACACATCCATTTTATTATCAGAAAATGAATATTAGTATTTTTAAAGATCACAATAAGATCTAAGGTACTTCTCAATCTATTACAACAAAAACTTTAATTACTACATTTCACCTGCGCATCAAATTCAACTTCCTTGGGAGGGTTTTATCACAACATTTCCTTCTCTGGTTTTTAGTCTTGACTGTATACTTTTACTATTCTTAACAGGACTGAATTTGGGGTGTTATTGGTGTTCCAGCAATGAACTCACATGAGTAACAGAGGTTTGCATTCGTCAGTCATAGACTGTGTCCATAAAGTAGGTATATAAATTGGTAATTACATTGAAAATGGATAGGTACATTTTGCCATCCTATTAAGTTGAAATCTTGTGTATCTGTATCTGTTTGCAAATGTTTTACAAATAATTATAAATTAATATGTGAGATAAAATAAAAACATGCAGTGGAGCCAAAGGAAAGGGTCAATATTTACTCTTGTGAATGATTAAATAGATGAGATTAATTAGGAACTGTCTGAAGCAAATTAATACTGAAAACGTGGTGAGAAGCTAGAGTAGCTTTTGTAATATTTTGCATTTTTAAAGTAACATTTTCTACAGGCTAGCTCACCATCTGTAGGTCAGACTATCCAGTCTACATAAAAATACAAATGAAAGCTGGGCAAGGTCACTCACCCCTGTAATCCCAGCACTTTTGGAGGCCCAGGTGGGTGAATCATCTGAGGTCAGGAGTTCAAGACCAGCCTGGCCAACATGGCAAAACCCTGTCTCTACTAAAAATACAAAAATCAGCTGGGTGCACGCCTGTATCTCAGCTATTTGGGAGGCTGAGACAGGAGAATCGCTTGAACCTGGGAGGTGGAGACTGCAGTGAGCCAAGATGGCGCCACTGCACTCTTGCCTGGGTAACAACAGTGTAACTCTGTCTCAAAAGAAAAAAAAAAAAAAAGAATGAAGCTAAATGGGTCAAGAGTGAAGATATTTTCTTTATTTCATCATTTAAAAATATTTAGCTTCCTTCTTGGCGATCTCAAAGTCCTCTCGGTCTAGAGGTTACTAAAATGTTTGATTGTGAAAACCCTATCAGTAAACAAATGGTGGCAATGCAAACCCAATGAATGAATACACAGTAATTACATGCACGCAAACTGTACTCATGTATTATTTATATTATAAATAGAAACTAAAAACATTAAAATTAAGTGGCTATATTTTTAAATATTTTACCTACTAAGTAAGTCTTTGTTCTTACTAAAAAATTAGGTATTTTTAAATGAAAGTACTATATTTAAATGTTATTAATCATCAAATGCTTTCTGTAATACTTTTGGAGATAATGATTTAAGGGATGGTTCAGTTTAATTTATTTCGGTATTTAGATTTTCAGTTATACTATTTAAGAAAGGTATTCCTTAAGAAGTATGTCGATCCAAATGGAATAAAGGCTGTATTGGCTGTGGCTAACGCCTGTAATCCCAGCACTTCGGGAGGCAGAGGCAGGCAGCAAGACTAGCCTGGCCAACATGGCGAAACCCTGTCTCTACTACAAATACAAAAAAATTAGCCAGGTACGGTGGCACACACCTATAATCCTAGCTACTTGGGAGGTTGAGGCACGAGAATCATTTGAACCAGGAAGGCAAGAGGTGGAGGTTGCAGTGAGCTGAGATTGCACTACTACACTTCAGCCTGGGCGATAGAGCGAGATTCTCTCTCTCAAAAAAAAAAAAAAAAAAAAAAAAGGTTGTATTGGCTGTTTTTAAACATTACACTTATATTTTTGTTTCCTAACTACTAATATGTTTGGTTGAAATTCAAACGCATTTCCATTTTTCTTGATGTCAATTAGTTGACCCTGCAAACTAATCAGCTACGTTTTTATATATTATCAAAAAGCATTCAAAATCAATGAAAACTCTTTGTGGAGATTTGTATCAGTTAAAACCTGCTTCGTAAAACAAAATCATTAAAAATTCAATTTTAAAGGTAGAGAGAAAAAAAGGGGGAATAAAGAACAGATAAAACACATAGAAAACAAATAGCAAGATGGTGGATTTACACCAAACATAAAATCTGAATGGTCTACACATCATAATTAGAAATCAAAGACTGTGAGATTGAATAAAAAAGTATGGGCCAACTAGATACTGCTGACAAGAATTTTACTTGAACTATAAAGACATAGAGTAAAATTAAAATGATGGAAAAGATATACTATTTAATACCAGTCAAAAGAAAGTTACAATGACTTTATTAATAATAACAGGCAAGGTAGAGTTCAGAACAAAGACTATTACTAGGAATAAAGAAAATCATTTCAAATAACAAAAGGGTCAGGTCATCACAAGGACGTAACAACCCTAAGTACGACACACCTAATAAGATAGTTTTGGTATATATGAAGCAAACAATGACAGAACTGCAAATAAAATAGACAAATAGATAAATCCACAATCAGAGCTAGAGATTTCACACCACCCTTTGAACTGAACTACTCATATATCAATCCAATCAAAATCCCAGTAGGCTTTTCTGTAGGAAATTAAAAGCCGATTCTATAATTCATATGGAAATTCAAAGAACCGAGATTAGCCAAAATAACTCTGAAAACAAACAATGAAGGTGAGGAAATTATATTGCCTAAACCCAATTCTTATTATAAAGTTATAGTAACTAAAGCAGTGTGGTTCTGGCATCAAGGGGCACAAACAGATCAGTGGAACTAAAAACAGAAATAGGACCACACACACGGCCAGGTGATTTTCAGCAACCTGCAAAGGTAAGGCCATAAGGAAAGGATAGTTGGTTGATTCAGCAAGTGGTGCTGCAACAACCAAATATCCAAAAGCAATAAATAAATAAATAAAAACTTTGACCCTTACCTTGTATCATAGGCAAATATTTACTCAAAATGAATATACACTTAACTATAGAACCTAAAACTATAAAACTTCTAGAAAAAAAAAAAAAAACAGAGGAGAAATGTCTTAATGACCTTAGGTTAGGCAAGTATTTCTTCAATACAATGTTAAACATCATAATGAAAGGCTGAATTATCAACTGGATTTCTTCAGAGTTTAAAACTTTTGCTCTTAGAAAGAAACTGTTAAGAGAATGAAAAGACAAGCCAAAGACTGGAAGCAAATATTTATAAATAATCTATCTGATAAATGAAAACGACTTGTATCTAGAATATATAAAGAGCTACTAAAAATCAGTCAGAAAACAAACAACCACAAACAAAATATGGACAAAAGATTTGAGAAGACACTTCACCAAAGATGGTGTGCAGATGACAAATGTGAAAGAACTGGAACACATACCATGATCTGGGGAATGTAAAAGAGTACAATCACTTTCATAAACAGTTTGGCAGTCTCTTAAACAGTTACAGAACCCTCCCATGTTACCCACCACTGCACACATAAATCTTTACCCAAGAGAAACGAAATCTGCGGTCACTTAAAGGCTTGTACACAGACCAACTGTTTCCTGCAGCTTTAGTGTAATAGCCAAAAACTGGAAATCACTCAGGTATCTATCAACAACTAAATAAATTAGTTGTGGTATGTCCATACAATAAACTACTAAGTAATAAAAAGTAATTAACTATTTACGTACACACTACCACCGATGAATCACAAAATTATGTTAAGTGAAAAAAGCCAAATAATACAGATTATATAATTCCCTTTATACAAAATAATTCTAGAAAATGCAAAGTAATTTATAGTGACAGAAAGCAAAACAATGGTCACCTGAAGATGGGGAGGGTCAAAAGGAAGGGATTACTAAGGGGCCCATAGAAACTTCTGTAGGTCAAGGCTATATTTATTATCTTGACTATATTGATGGTTTCATGGGTGTGTGTGTGTATATTAAGTTGTACACTTTAAACATTTGCACATTACTGTGTATCAATAAACCTCAGTGAAACTATTTTAAAAGTTTCTGCTCTTTTTAAGGGTATAGATGTCACAATTTGTATATATGACATATAAATTTCAGCAACAAAGTCACATGATAGTGAAAATACTGGCAAAGACCTATTTTCAAAGTGCTCTCTTCATAGCGTGAATTTCTTTGGAAAGCAATTATTTTCTCATGCAGTGTTAATGTCACTGGCAACTTGAGGGTTCAGATTAAATGTTATTTTTCTGAATATATCTTCTAAATACTTTCATTTGTCATTAGAAGAAGTTAGCAAATTTGCAGTCTTTGTCTTTTTGTGAAAGAAGCATGTGTATCTAATTTATTAACTGAACAACTGTACCAAGTATTTTGCTGCAAACAGCAAATCTGTGGGTAGCACAAACGAAAATGCATGAACATTTTGAAATCATCTTCATAACTGTGATTTTTTTTTTTCCAGGTGACAAAATAATCCTCCTTAGTAAAGTCGAGAAGGAGCGTAGATAGGTTTAGAAGCATAGGCTGGACACTGCTGTCACCTTTTCCTAGCTGCACAAGGCCCACCCTGTGAGAGGAGACTCTGCTTCCTGGACAAGCCATGACCTTCTAGTGCACGAACTTTCTGAAAGCTCCGTCCGTGTATTAATAATCAATAAAAAATTCTTTAATATCATTTACTCAAAAACATATCAAGATCCAAGTTTTCACATTTTCCTCATATACCTTAATGGAATTCACTTGCTTTCCACTTTAGAGATAGCGTAGATTC